TTGAGACTTATGCCAGATTGAGCAATTGCCGCTTGCCTTCTAGAATACAAACTCACTTAAGTTAGAGACATTTTTAGATATTACAATGCCCAATCTTTCGGTGCAACTAGCAAATGGTCCCGCAAAAAGGCCAATGCAAAAATATTAAGTCCACAGATTAAGGAATTGCTATGTGTCATGTTCCCAGGAAGTAAGGTATGCATGGGCTGTCCAACTCAAGATGGTAAGCCATAGGTCACAGAAGAAATAATGTGTACACAGCGTCAATCTTCCAGATTCCTTTCCAAGCATTGAAGCTGCATTCCATCATTATCAGGAAGCTTCTGATTTCCACTAGGAAAGAGCTCATGAGACACAGTAGTATTTTTCAAAAATACACTATTTGTAAATATATTTTTAAATCAGTGAATCAAATAAATTAACAGGAAGAATTAGAAGATCAATCACAGTAACAATACTATGAAATCTCATAGTCATGGCCCAGATGATGATGAACAAGTCACAAGTTTTTCGGTAGTGTATTAAGCACTACTGGAAATGTTGTCAATTATTGCTTGGTTCACTCAGTAACTCTTGAAGGAAAAGCTATAAGAGAGAAAAAAATCTATATAAGTATTAAAGTGAGGCAATGCTTACTATGTTTGTGGTGTTCTAGAAAAAGCAACTGAAGACAGTTATGTTTGGATGAGTAACATGGAGCTTTTAAGGTGGACTTCTGTCTCTATAAATAAACACCATTATTTAAAAATAATAATTTTTTATTATGGTAAAAATACAGAACATAAAATTTACCATTTTAACCATTTTTTAGTGTTTGTCTTTATTTTTGAGGGAGGGAGGGGCGGGGGAGGAGAGGATCTGATGCAGGATCTGATGCAGGGTTTAAACACACAAACCATGATATTGTGAGCGTCTGAGCCAAAGTCAGACGCTTAACCAACTGAACTATCGCAGCACACCACCATTTTAACCATTTTTAAGTGTACAGTTCTAGCATTACATACATTCACATGAAGCATAACCATCATCACCAACCATGAGTTTCATCTTTCTGAAATGGAACTCTGTATGCATTAAAGGATAATTTCCTATTACCTCATTCCCTGGTCCCTGGTGATCAGCCTTCAACTTTCTTTTCTCTATGAATCTAATGCAAAAAGTGGAATCATGCATTATCTGCCATTTTGTATTTGGCTCAGTTAGCATAATATCTTTAAAGCTCATCATGTTTTATCATGTGTCAAGATCTCCTTCCTTTACAAGGCTGAATAATATTCCATTGTATGAACACATCACACTTTGTTTATCCATACACCCAGCAATGAACACTAGGGTAGCTTCCATCTTTTAGCTATTGTGAATAAGGCTGCCATGAACATGGTTGCACAGATATCTGTTTGAGTCCCTGCTTTTTCTCATTTTGCATATATACCCGAAGGAGATTTGCTAATCACATGACCATTCTAAGTTTAATTTTTTTGAGGTATTGCCATCACGTTTTCCATAGTATCTGCGCCATTTTCCATTCCCATCGGCAAAGTACAAGGGTTCCAAGTTTTCCACATCAACAACTATTATGATTATCCACTTTCTCTCCTTGCTTCTCTCACTTCCTCTCTTTCTCCCCCTCCCTTTCACCCTTCTCCTTTCCTTCCCTTCCTTCTCCCTTCTTTTAACAGCTATCCTAACGAGTACAAAGTACCATTTCATTGTGCATTTGATTTACATTTCTCTAACAACTAATGATGTTAATCATCTTTTCATGTACCTATTAGCCATTTGTACGTCTCTCTCTCTCTCTTTTTTTTTTTTTTTTGGAGAAATGTCTATTCAACTTATAATAAGAACTGTATATTTGGTCTCTTCCCTCTGCTTCTGGCTAGAGCTCCTAAAACTCTTGTAATTTCCTAAGTGATAAGAGCCGGAAGAGCATCTTTTGCTGCAATATTTGCTTTGTGTGCCCAGCTCCTGAATCAGCTTCGGAATAATAAAGGTTAAAGGAACATCTCTGGTTATTCATAATGAGCCCCTTTCAACCACACCTAAGTTATGTTAATGAGGTGACTGTGGAAATCCCTAGAATGGCTGCCAGAGAAACCAACCAGGCTATTAGAGAAATGGAACTTTCAGTTCCACCCCCAACCTCCTTGGAGGGAGGAGGGCTTGGGGGTTGAATTTATCACCAAAGGCCAATGATTTGATCAACCTCCCCCAGTTACCAGAAGCCAGAAGCTCAGGACCCTTCCAGATAGCTCCCCGTGCATCCTTTCATCTGGCTGCGTACGTGTGCCCTATGGCATATCCGTTATTATAAATTAGTTATTAGCACGTAAACTGTTCCCTTGAATTCTGTGAACCATGTTAGCAAAGTATCAAACCTGAGGACGGGGACATGGGGGCCTCGGATCTGTAGCAAGGTCAGATAGATGTTGTGCATCCTCTGGGACTCACTACCTGTAACTGGAGTCTGAAGCAGGGGGCAGCCCTGTGGGACTGTCCTTAAGCTGTGTGATTTGCACTAACTCTGGTCAGTTCGCATCAGAATCAAGTCAAACCGTAGAACAAGCAATTAGTATCGGCTGAGAATCAGAGAAGAGTTTGATAGAGAAAAATGCACACATCTGGTGTCAGAAGTAAATGAAGCATTGAGAAGAAAGTGTTTCTCCTTTTACAAATCCTTTGTGCATTTTCGAATTGTTTTTTCACTGTTGTTACTGTTTAGTTGTAGGAGTTTATATATATATATATATTTGATATCAATCTCTTATCAGACATATGACTTGCCAATACTTCCTCCATTTTCACGGGTTGCCTTTTCACTCTGTTGATAAGAGTCCCTTGCTGCACAAAAGGGTTCTTTTGAATTTTTTTAATGTTTACTTATTTTTGACAGAGAAAGATAGACTGTGAGTGGGGAAGAGGCAGGCAGACAGACAGGGAGACACAGAATCCGAAGCGGGCTCCAGGCTCTGAGCTGTGAGCACAGAGCCTGACACGGGGGTCGAAATCACAAACCGCGAGATCATGATCTGAGCTGAAGTCAGACGCTTAATGACTGAGCCACCCAGGTGCCCCCAAATATATTTCTTCAATATAGTTAGAAAAAGGCAAAATTCTACAGAACTCCATGTTCTTCAGACTCTTTTTCTTGTTAGAGCCTCTCCCCATGGTGCCAGGTGCCTCCACGAATGTACACATTTAAAGAGTACTTCTTACTGGTTTTGGCTTACTCATAGGATTGTCCATTGACATGGCAGTCATTTTATTTATTTTTTTTTCTTTTTAATATTTTTATTTATTTCTAGGAGAGAGAGAGAAAGAGATAGCGTGAGCAGGGGAGGGTCAGAGAGAGAGGGAGACACAGACTCGGAAATAGGCTCCAGGCTCCGAGCTGGCAGTCAGCACAGAGCCCGACGCGGGGCTCGAACCCACGAACCGCGAGATCATGACCTAAGCGAAAGTCGGACGCTCAACCGACTAAGCCACCCAGGCGCCCCAATTCAATTTTTCTTTGAAACAATGTTTAAAAATTTTTTAGCAATTTGTTAATAAGAATGATTCATAAAGACTAAATATTGACAGCTCCCTGAAGATTTAACTCTTGATAAATATTGTTTCTTCTCAAAGCAACTGGAAGAATGAAACGAATGTAATCCNGACGCTTAACCGACTAAGCCACCCAGGCGCCCCTACATGGCAGTCATTTTAGAGATATTTTATCACCCTACAGTGAAACCCCCTGACAACTGGCAGTCACTTTCCACCTCCCCCTAATTCCCTCAGCCCTAGGTGACCACCAATCTACTCTTTATCTCTATTGATTTGCCTTTTTTGGACATTTCTTATTAATGGAAACCTTCTTTCCACTCTCTTCTTTCACTTAGCATAATATTTTCAAAATGCATCCATGTTGTAGCATGTGTGACTCCTTCACTGATCTTTACTGCTAAATATTATTCCATAGTATGGATATACCACTGTTCAGTAACTGGTGGACATTTGGGTTATTCCCACTTGGTGGTAATTATGAATAATACTGCTATGAACAGTTATGTACAAGTTTTTGTGTGGATTCCATTCGCGTTTTAAAAGAAGATGATTAGAGGGGCATCAGGATGGCTCCGTCGGTCAAGTGTCCGACTTCAGCTCAGGTCATGATCTCGTGGTTGGTTCGTGAGTTCAAGTCCCACGTAGGGCTCTGTGCGGGTCCACACAGAGCCTGGAGCCTGCTTCGGATTCTGTGTCTCCCTCTCTCTCTGCCCCTCTCCTGCTCTCTCTCTCAAAAATAAATAAACATTTTTTAAAAATTAAAAAAAAAAACTAGATGATTATAGAGAGAAAATTCTTGGATTCAAATGACACACAATTCTACCGGTGTGGAGTTCAACAAAGTGCCCAAGATTGAGAAATACATTTTATGCTATCCCTTTGTCCAACAAAGCAGTCTTAAAATGACAGCCTTCCAAGCCATACTTCTCTAGATATTATCATTCATTCTACAAATATTACACATGTGTGCCAGATAAGGTGTTGGGACTGGAATTACAGCAGTGGACAGAGGGATATGGATTATAGAGCTGAGAGGCACCAAGAAAAGCGTTAAATTTTTAAAATCTTTATTTATTTATTTTTAAAGTGATCTCTCTGCCCAACGTGGTGCTCCAGCTCATGACCCAGAGATCAATAATTGCATGCTCTACCAACTAAGCTAGCCAGGCGCCCCAAGAATGTTAAATTAAGCAAGCAAATATAATAAAAATTTATATACACTACCATTAAGGAATTACATGGTAATTAGAAAAAAGCTAAACACACACAGTTGTAGTAGGAAGAGGAAAATGCCAATTAAAACTTTCTTACAAAAGACTAAGTCCTTCAAAACAAATACAAGTTTCAACAAAGAGTTGAAAGAGATCAGAGGGCTCATCTCCTTAATTACCAAGTCTAAGTCCAAATTCGAACATTTTATAAATGTATAAAAATACTCACTTCCATGCTTTCCGTGCCGCTAGCCTTCTCGCAGCCATGGTGAACGTTCCTAAAACCCGCCGGACTTTCTGCAAGAAGTGTGGCAAGCACCAACCCCACAAAGTGACACAGTACAAGAAAGGCAAAGATTCTCTTTATGCCCAGGGAAAGCGGCGTTATGACAGGAAGCAGAGTGGCTATGGGGGACAAACGAAGCCGATTTTCCGAAAAAAGGCTAAGACTACAAAGAAGATTGTGCTGAGGCTTGAATGTGTTGAGCCCAACTGCAGATCTAAGAGAATGCTGGCTATTAAGAGATGCAAGCATTTTGAACTGGGAGGAGATAAGAAGAGAAAGGGCCAAGTGATCCAGTTCTAAGCTTCGTATTTTGTTACATTATGAAGACAATAAAATCTTGAGGTTATGTTCACTTCATTTGGTTACAGTTGGTCCTTTGAGTGAAATAAACTAGTGCCCTCAATAAAATTTCCTTTTTGGGGAAAAAAAAAAAATACTCACTTCCAAAACATAATTGTTCATAATTTTAAAGATCTCTAAGAAGGTGACACCCACCATTCCTTACTACCCTTACCTCAGTGTTTAATAAAGGTCACCCTGCCTTCCTCTAAATCTTTTTCAAATCCTTTATTCAGGTTAGTCTTTGCCTTCTTAGTCTATCATCAAAAGAAATAGAAAGCAGACATCATCAACATGCTTTTAGCTTATCAGCCAACATTTTTCCACACTGAATTCAAGTACTGTTTTACCTGGAAGCCTTATTTGACTGAGTCTGTGGACCATTTTTTGACACTTTTCCATGTTTCCAATCATCCCTCTACTTGTAGAGCTAGGACTAGATTCTTGTTTACCTAAGGATGAGACCAGAACTTAGCACAAAGTACTTCGTTACTTGACCTTGTAGATTGGCCTGTTGATTTTGAGCTCTATAAGAAGAAGGTCTTTTCTTAACTCTACTTAGAGGTCAGTTAGTCCAGAAAGATCAATTGATAGGGCTCAGGAAGAAAGAAGCACAATACTATCAGATAAACTCAAAATGTATGCCCTCTGAGCATGCATTCAAATTATGAAAATATCATCATAAACCTTACGCATAAAAATGTATACTCTCTTATGCCCTACCCTCTGCCCTTGACATTACCTTCAGTAGCTTTTCTGATCATGCCTCCAAATGGTTGTGATCATTCTGACTTAAATCCTTCCCTCTTCCCCACCCCCACCAAGAGCCTGGTCATTTTCTGTGTTTCCTGTATATCCATAGAATATTTAATAGAGCATTTTGACTAAGCACTAGATTTAGTGATCACTTCAAAAACATTTCTTGCTAAGACTCTTTATGCCTACTATAACATTAATTCCCAATTAAACACACTTTCAGCATGCTGCAACGAGGTAGCCCCTTAGAGGGGTATAAAATAATCACTTGTTTGCGGTCTCCTAAGTGTGAACTGTAGAGAGAGGAGCATCGTCAGCTTTCGTAAAATCAAACTAGGTCACTTCTTCTACTTTCCCTCAATCTACTGGGCTGCCACTGTGTCACAAAGAGAGACTGCATTAGTTTGACAGAGTTTACGGTCTTTCAAGCCACATTGCTATACCTGCTACCTTTCAGCCTGCAAGGTGTTTCCAAATTGATTGTGCGATGATATCTGCTACTTCTTCCCCAAATCCCCTATTTTCTTCCAGGTCATAAACACTTTCAGATGTGTCGTTCCAAGGTCATTCTTCCTCCATGGCACACAGAAATGACACATTGCTCCTGTTCTAGCTCTACACGTGGTGTTGTGTGAGGGTTTCATTCTGAACAACTGTTTCCAGATTCATCGGTGCCTACAGATTTTAATATAAGCAGGCTGCTAAAACAGCCTTTCACCAGCTCTTCTAATAATGTTGCTTCCTCCCCGATACTCCCAGTCAATACTACCAGACTTCTTTAAAAAAAAGAAATTTTGCTTTGGGGGGGGAAGAGCAAAGAAACAACAAAGACAGCAACTTGACCTATTGCTGTCATTTAAAACCAATCCTTCCTTTACCCAACAGAGAAACGACATTCCCTGTCTTGTCGCTTCTGATGTATTTAAAGAATGTTTCCCTTGATGTATTTTGAAGGTTGCTTCTCATTTCCTGCTTGAGGTTTTGACTCTCCTCTGCTGCTATTTCTTTGTCCTCCTCCTTGGCCCTCAGCCATCCCCCCTCCTTTGTGGTAGCATTTTTCTTCTTCAAGCAGTACATTGTTCATTCTGTTGGGTTTTATCCTACCTTCCCCACCTTAGTTAGAATGGACTTTCATTGTTTTCCGTTAACTGAATTTCATTAAAGCATAGTCCTAGTCTGTACTTCTGGATACTCGTTTTTTTTTCTTCTTTTCAATCTCTGTATGGTGATAGTTTCCTCTGAAATATTTGAAGTCACTTTCACAAATTCAACTTTATTAATGCAATGGTGTTTTTCTAGCCATTGAAGATCCTAAGAAATGCTAACATCTGTCACAATTAGATACTGATCTGATTCCTAAATCTGTAATAGTTAATTTCAACTATGGCATCCATCTTCTTTGAATCTTCTTGCTCTCTTCTCCAAAATGATCCCACTGTTCACCTATGAGTTTATTTGGTTCTAGAAGGCAGAAGAGGGCAAGGAGATCCCTGACGTCATCCAGGTCTTTGACTTGGTCAGATGTTCAGAAGGACTGACCATGGTTTTTCTTAAATGAGAGCTCTACATCAAAATTACTTGAAAGGTTTTCCTGTTCTTTTTCTAAAATTTTACTTCTGAAGTTACAAACGCTTTGATGATCTCCTTTTATGTCCTCCTAAATCACAAAAAGCACTATGCAAATAGTGACACAGACTTACTTTTCAAGTCCCGACCTACTCTTCAACAGGCCACACTTTTGAATTCGTAAGTAAGTTATACATTAGACAAGAGCAAGCAAGGTATAAGTTAAGAAGAGAGAATTCTTTGCTACCATTTGTCTTTATTTCCTCTATAGTGCATTGGCACAGCCTTCTGCCATTGTGATTTCTTTGCTAATGGTGGATTCTCCGAACCTGTTCAAGTTCCTTACGGTAATCCACTGATGATCAAAACATAACCTATCTATTACTAATTTATTCCTAGTAAATGAAAAATAGATACATTGGCATCTCTGTTAAGAGAGCTGTTTCTTGCTGAATGGCCCTGTCTGGGTTACACAGAGATGACATTAACATTTTGGCTTCAGAATAGGGTGTATCATGATAATATTTAGCAGATGAAGAACAGTAAGCCCCAGAATCCTGGGACTGAAGGAAAAGTATAAATTTATGATTACACTCTCTGGAACTAGAGTTCTTTTTTTTTTTTTTTTCTTTAAGTAAGCTCTACACCAGGCTGCCTGGGTGGCTCAGTCGGTTAAGTGTCTGAGTTCGGCTCAGGTCATGATCTCACAGTTCATGGGTTTGAGCCCCACATCGGGCTCTGTGCTGACAGCTAGCTCAGATCCTGGAGCCTGTTTCTGATTCTGTATCTCCCTCTCTCTCTGACCCTCACCTGCTCACACACACACTCTCTCTCTCAGAAATAAATAAAACATTAAAAGAAAAATAAGCTCTACACCCACATGGGGCTTGAACTCATGACCCTGAGATTGAGAGTCACATACTAGATTGACGGAGCCAGAGAGGTGTTTCTGGAATTTGTTAGCTGTGATCCTGGGCAGGTCATACAAATCCTCTCTACCTCTCTTTCCTCATCAGTTAAATGGTAATAAAAACAGAATGATCTCAATGGGTATTTGAGAGGCATCAACACACAAAAAGCACATAGGACTCAATAAGCAACCCCCTTAAGTTCACATGAAAGGGACTTTACATCAAATAATAAAAGAGCAAAAACATACTTAAAATCACACAGGTAGACAAACTTGGGGAGAGACTGTTCAACAACTCACTAACGTGATATGCCTAGATCAGTCTGAGTATCACAGTGAGGCTAGCCTATTGCACTTACATTTTGGAAACATCCATATTTGGCATCCTACCCACCATTGTGAAGACAGCACCCACGAAACGGTTTTCTAAAATGCTGACAACACACAGACCAGGTCTCAACAAAGATAAGCAGTACCAACTTGGAAGACTACAGTTACCTTACATCCATTCCAATAAAAATGTGATGAGCTTGCACTTTTTATCTTATCTTCCAGAAAACAGTTCAGAAGCAAACAGCACTTTATGCTGTCTTTTGAAAATACCAAGAAGAAAATATACTGTGATGAAAAAAAACCTAAAAGTGGTATGCAGAAAACATTTCCAACACGGACAACAATTTATCACCTTGCTTTTCTTAAATTATTAAGTACTGTTTATAAAATAGCAGCTGTTTCATGTCAATCTCTTCCCCAGTTACCATCGAAACACCATTCTACTTCAGCTGTACCTTCCTATGCGTAAGAGTTTTAAGGACCAGTATTAATTCATATCATTGTGAAAAGGACGAAAAGTAATTCCGATTTCCATTCTTTATTGGAAAATAAGAACGCCACAAACCTTTTAGTGGACAGCCCAGTTGGGAAAACACAAAAGCGTAAAAGTAGGAAAAACCATTGTCGTTTGAGGGAAAACATGACGGACAAATGAGGAAGCATGACATTTAATAACACAGCACCATTCACATCTATTTGTTTCTGGTAAGCATGTCCTTCACACCTTCAGATCTGAGAAATGTTAGAGCATGCTGGAAAAAATGAATTCTGCAAAGACAATACCTGTGTTACGAAGAGCTTTTGTCTGGTGTTCTCAAACTAGGCTACTTCAAATATTTGTATTTCATGAGCTAAGCCAAAGTATGCTACCAAATTTGTAAACCAGCATTATTCCTAGAGGGTAAGGGGGCAAAGAAAGCAAGTAGAATTTTTGTGATTTAAGGTTTTCTCCCCTGAGATGTTAATTTCAATACCACTGGTGAAATGAATGGTCTGAGGAGATATAATGAGTAAAATAATAGCCTTTAGGAAACTTTACAACTTACAACATCTAATAGCATCAACACATCTATTTTCTCGGGTATCTGAAGCCCTCATAATGGTACTTTCTTCCAGACACTTCTAGAACCTTCTGCGACAGAAACATGGTTCCCAACGAAGTCTTAATAGGGCAGGTCATGACCTCTTTAATTGGTTTATCTACAACTTAAGGTGGTCTTTTACTGGGGCTCATTGCTGGGTTACCTACAATATAAATGTGAAAAGATTTTAATGTCTAGTAACAATAATAATTTCTGATATTTAAAATTAATACAAATATCTTACAGCCATTAAAAATAAAATGTCTGTAGGGTAGGGTTTTCAAAAATGCTTGGGGGCACCTGGGTGGCTCAGTCAGTTAAGCATCTGACTTAAGCTTAGGTCATGATCTCATAGTTCATGGGTTCGAGCCCCACACTGGGCTCTGTGCTGACAACTCAGAGCCTAGGGCCTGCTTCAGATT